CACAGACAAGTTTGGGTGGTTCTGAGGATCTCATATGCACCAATGAGGCACTGGCTTTAGGCTCCGATGCTTTGCTGACAACAGCATTTGCATTGACGTACATACTCTGTAACGTCACAAACAATGTCCCTGATGTTCAGCCTCATTGTGAACAACGATCGCAACGAAATGGGGACAGCAAACAAATAGGCATTCTTCTTCATGACAGGATGTTTAACAACCCTGTAAAGAACCCCATCTCTATTTGTGAGCTTATCTCAGCCTCTAAGCAGCTTAATAACCTCAGAAGATTCCTTGACCCTTTCCCTTCTGGAAGGTCTGCATTTTCTCTCCATATAAAAAATGATTCTGCTTAGAACTGTTTCATTTCTCTGCTTCTCTTTCAACAAACAATGTGACATCTCTGAGCTGATGTGGGGCTGTTCCACAACCTGGGACAACTGGACAGCATGACAGTGAACCACTCGCTCACCATCCATACCTTCCTGAAGTACAGCAGCAACCTCCACTAATCATACTACCCCCAGCTGAACCGCAACAAACTGAGACATTGGCTGACTACAATCCAATGGTCTTTTGGTCGGGTTAGCTGATGTGGTCGGAAAATTTAGATTTCTCTTGTCTCACATATTTAGTTATGTTATCTATTTAGTGAAAATGTTTTATTCTGTTTGTTTCAACTGCAAGGCTGAGAAATTGTCTGAGTCAATCAGTAAGGGAGACAAACTCTGTCTAGTCAGAACAGGGCTGAATACTGTGCTGTAAGGGCTGTATAATGAACTGTTCTCTCTTTGCAAAGATACGAAAATAAAGTGCTGACTGAGTGAAATCTATAAATCTCCTTTTATTTAACTAGGATGAATAGTTGAATACTTTTCTCCCACTACAATTGACGTTGTCATGGCAGGATCTCCTCAACTGATTTTTCTGGGAGCAGTTATGACAGAAGTGTCTGATCTCAACCCTAATAGATGGAGGATGGAGGACTTCTGACTTAATGTTTCCAGGAATCAGCAAGAGATTGCGAACTGATGTAGATAGATGTAACAGTTTCTAAAGGGGACAAAAGATCGATTTGTTTTTTTAACACTTTTTTAACACTTTGGAACCAAAAGACTGTCGCATAGGAACGTGAGGTTCTCTCTAAGCACTGAGAGGAGGGTTGTAGGTGCCACCAGAAGGTACTTAATTTTACTGAGAAGTCGGTAATCTAGAGTGGGATCCCCCCTCGAGTTATCCATGTCGGCACCAGAGGAATGGTGTGCATATCGGGCAGAATTAAATTACCTGTAGATAATGGGAAAGGTTTGCAGTTCTAAAGCACTAGAACAAAGGCAAGGTTCCAGGGAATCACCTCAGCTCCAGAGAGAAACGGGTTAAAATTAGAAGGTAAAAAGGCAGTGTTTAAACCTTACACTACACATACTTACACTGTGCTATATTTTACACTATACTAAGTAATAATAATGAATTCTAATTTCAATGGTGCTTTTAGAGAAACGAAACTCTAAACTCTTACAGGAAATTAATAACTCATAGCTAAAAAAAGCTATTCAATTATTACAGAAAGAAAGTAAGTAGGGCATAAAATAAGGTGATATAAAAAATGTTAAGAAAAAAAACTTCTACAATGGAGGAATTAACCTATAATTAAAATACAAAAAACAAAATTTAATTGCAAAAAGTATGTTGAAAAAAAAGGCAAAAGTATGTTGATGAGAAAAGCAAAGACATGGTGATGAGAAAAGGTGGTGAGAGGGAAATGGGGCGACTGACGAGACGACATTCCTTTCCTGAAAAAGGCTTCTTCTTTTATATTTATTTACTTTTTTATTTATTTGAAACATTGAAAACTTTCCCACTAACCATTGATTTCTTTACTCCCTGCCCTTTAAACATGGACTCCCTAAACGGAGCCGCTCCTTTTGGAATTCAGGGAGTTAAAATATGGTAATTATATCTACAAAATGTTCCCATATGTTGATTCTCCCATATAAACTGTTTGTATAGTTTTTGTATAGTTTTCATCTAATGAATGTAAATATATGTTTATATAGTTTTATATAGATTGAGCTATAGTGGCAGATGTCTACTGATTTATTATGTTTTTCTAGAACTTTCAGACTTTAAAGGGGAACCTTGTGGTATTTCCATTCCCTGACAGCGTTCTAATGATTTCAGATAAGGAGGAGAAGATAGATCTGCTCATCTATATGAAAATGTTGAATGTCTTCTGCAAATCTTCAGCATCTTCTTTTAGCCTTCAAAATATAAAAAGTAAAAAGGCGTTTTTTCTTTTTCTTTAGTGTGAATCATAGCAGGTTTCTACAGAGAAAAAGAGTGTCAAACATGACCGATTAGTTCAGAGTTGGCTTTACTTAACTGATCTGGATCAGAACATTTGATAATTTATCCTTAGTTATCTATGCATGAATAGAACCACGGAGCCCCACTAATAAAGCCCCATTCATCAATCCAGAGCTTGATGAATGTTGCATGCACGAAAGCAAGAAAAAATGGTAACAGATGCAAAAATCCAAAAACATAAATCCGCAAAAACTGAGAAACAGGAATACTCAGAACAAGGGGGAAAGAAATTATGACAAACCAACAAAGAGTGACTGAACAGGAGCTGTATATATGGGAGACAGAAACAAAGACCAGGCTTATTAGCAGATTTGGAGCAGGTGTCGACAGAGGAATCTATAAGGAAGCTAGGGGATGGGAGAATGACACAAGAGGGCAAACAAGAACTTAAATACATCCAGAAAACACAAAAAATAGGAAATAAACCAATAAAACTAGAAAACACAGAAAAACATGGATCAAATTGAAACTGAAAACTCAAATTTAGAATAGAATAAAATTCAACTTTATTGTCATTCCACTGTAATAAGTACAGCGCAACAAAATTAATTCTCTACATTTAACCCATCCCCTTGGGGAGCAGTGGGCTGCCATTGTGTGGCGCCCAGGGAGCAGTGTGCGGCTAAGGGTCTTGCCAGACCCAGAGTGGCAGTCTGTGGGAGTAAGGGATCGAACTCAATTTTAACATGTTTCTTATGATTCATTGATAAATTAGGTTGATAAACAGTCTTTTTAAGACTAAAACAAAAATGCGTATGGGCTATCGAAATGAGATGCAAATGAGCAGGTTTATGACAGCATCTTCAACTGCTAAGACATAACAGGCAAACTGCAGGGGGTCCAGTACTGATTCAACCTGTGACCTCATTTAAGCCAAGGCTCTAGTTAGCAGGGTCAAAGGACTCTAGGCTTCTTGGGAACAAGAATCATGCAGGGTGTCTTCTACAGCACCATTATTTTCCCCAGACTGAAGCCTAGGCTAAGGAAGTGTTTGTAATTGTAAAATCTGCTTGGCACACATCCTTAAAGTCCTGGAGGAGATGGCATCTAGGCCTGCAGTTGTCTGACCACATGAGCAGACAAAGATGTGAGAAAGGCTGGAGAAACAGAGGGAAGTGGGCTAGCAGTAATTGTAAACAACATATGGGGTTCTATGGGCAGGGTTCGTTAGGTTCTGCTGTCCTTCATATTTTAGATCTGTCTCTGCTCAAGCACACCTGATTCAAATTATTGCATTTCCTCCTTGATGGCCCTTAAATGCTTCAAAATCCTGTTAAATACGTCTTAACTCAGGGCCGGTGTGTGGAGGCAGGGATACACCTAAAAAATGTAGGACAGTGGACGCGTAGGACCAAGGTTAAGATTCCCTTCTCTAGGGCATGTCCGTTTGAAGATTTTTCACTGCAGTCAATACATTAAACTGCTGGCACATTATTTAGTCATATGATTTAGCCAGAGAGTTTACAATTGTTTTGTTGGTAACTGTTTACATTCCACCTTCTGCTTTTTCCAACACTATGTGTGATGTCATCAGTTCTGTTGTCGCTAATCTACTGACACAAAAGCATACATTTGAGGCATTTGATCATATCCCACTCTCTGCTAGATGACTATTATTTTAGCATTTGTTCAGCTGTTTTAACAGAGAAACACCATATGGGATATTCCAAAAAAAAAAAAACAAACAAACCACTTGAATTTGTTTTCTAATTTTGAATTGCGAAAGCTTCCTGGATGGGAAGCGAAACGTCTTCAAAGTTGGAAAACCTAGTGCACTGGATTGTTTTTTTTTTTATCTTTTCTGGAATGAGTATGACCTGAATGACTGATTATTTTTTACCGGCACCATATGAGATAATACAGTACCATCCCTACCAGAACAGCAAAATGCGTCCCCAGTAATAAATCATGGATCACCACTGCTCTGAAAGTACTGCTTAATAAAAAAACAAGTATTTTGGAAGGCAGACAGGGAAATATAAAGGAGTATAAATAGACAAATTAACAGAAGGCAAGGAGACATACTGGAAGAGGCTGGCAAGCTCCAGCAGAATTATATATGAGTTGTGGGGTGAGGGATGAAGAAATTTACAGGCTTCAATTAGAGGGTGAATTAGATGGACTGCAGTCTGGACAGAACCAAATTAATGCATTCATTACTGGATTCAGTTCAGAAAGAAGTTTTCCATCTTCCTGCCAACCTCTCTCCTGCTCATACTCACAATGCATCTTGCCATAATTTGACCCAAAGCTTCCCTCTGACATCTCAACTGTTACTTTTTCCACCTATGCCAATTGACTCCCCTGCTTCTATGAGTTTGTTGTCAGTCAGATCATAATATGGTTCTGCTCCCTCAACCGTTCATCTGTCTGAGTCTAGAAGTCAAGTAAAGAGGCAACTGAAGAGACTGGATCATAACAAGTAACCAGGCCCTGATGGACCCCTGAGTCCTGAAGGCCTATGCAGAGCAGATCTGTGGGATTCTACTCCACCTCTTCACCCTTAGCCTGATCAAAAAGACAGTTGTACGGATGTACAAGACCTCCTGCCTTGTTCTGGTGCCAAAGAAGACTCAGCCAACAGTCCTCAGTGACCATAGACCTGTTGCCCAACATCCCACATCATGACTGTCCTAGAGAAACTTCTGTTGGTTCACCTCAGCAAACAAACCAGCAGCTATCAGTACCCCCTGCAGTTTGCTTATTGCCATGGTGTTGGAGTAGAAGATGATGTCATACACCTGCTTCAACAAACCCACTGTCATTTAGACAAGGGAGGTAGCACTGTGAGGATCACGGTCTTCTATTTTTCCAGAACAATTAATACCAATCAGCCTTACTTACTTTGTCAGAAACTTTGGAACACTCAGGTGGAGGCATCAACAATCACCTGAATCAAAGATTACCTGACCAACAGACCACAGTTTGTTAAACTGTAGGGTCAACTGTCTAAGTTGACAGTACTCTTTCCATTCCTTTTGACTCTGTACACCTCTGACTTGAATACAGGGAGCTGAATCACTTTGTGAAGTGTTTAGAAAAAAACATCTGATCCTGAAAGGATTGAGATTTCAGGAGACATAGGGACAAGTTGAAACCCTATAGCCTTCATTGGAGAAGAAGTGGAGGTGGTGGAGGGGTTGAAATGCCCTTAAATGCATTGGTGTTCAGCAGGACAACAAATTCAACTGCAGATGACATCCGTGAAACAATGTGGGACAGAGCACACTTTCTTAGGAAGCTTAGTACCTTCAGCTTTTGCAGCAAGATTCTTCATATCTTCTAAATTCCTGTTGCGAGTGTGATCTCTCCTGCCATCCTGTTAAGCTGATAAAACATGCAGGCTCTGTTCTAGAAACTCCTCTGGAAACTTTGGGGACGGTTTCAGAAAGACAAATTCTTCATAAAGATAAGAACATTAAGGAAAATAGTGAGGATCATCTTCTGGAGACTAAAAAACACCAATACAGTGTCTTTAGTAAGACGCTTCTCCAGATCTGGTGCAAGACAAACCACTACAGAAGAACCTTTGAACATCTATAAGAACTTTTTGAAAACATGCAGATAAGTTACTCCAACATTTAATTTCCCTTTGACATTAATAAACATGAAATTCATGAATTTAATATTTTGCTCCTACAGTTTTTTTATTTATTTATTTTTTATATATCATTTTTGACATCAGATTAGAATGGCATGTTTATCTGAACATGGTTCCTATTTTTTCCTTTGTCCCCGATAAAACCACTGTGCTGCACGTTCAAGAACTGAGGGCTGCTACCCGTTACATACAGATGTATCATCATAAATGCAAGTAATAAAAAGGTGACAGAAAACAGGAAGTAGTAAACACATCATGACTCCTGTTTTTGTAAGTTGTGCCTTAAAATGTTTATAAGGAGATGTACACTTACTCAATCATTTACACTTTATAGTTATTTATTCAAGTTCAGTTTATTTTTATAGTGTGTTAACAACACATGCCATCCAATGAAACTTTACAAAGACAATTCACTCAGATCATCCAGTCAGATTGTTTCAAAGTTTTTTGTATCTAAGAAAAAACAGCTAATTGCATCAAGTCATTGAGGGGTTTTTCTCCTCCTGGATGAACATTTGTTTGCATTGAGCTGGGGACTCAACGGCAATTCCTGCTTCTAATAATTTAATTAAATGATCTTTACACTTTAAAAGCAGTTTCCTACCTGTTCAAAATAATGTTACCATTTACTAATGCAGAGAATCAAATGAAATCTGATAGAGATTCACATGAGGGACATAAAATTAGGTTGATGGTACTGAGGCCTTTCATCCTCAAAGATTTAGATGGAAATGCAGATCAAAGTTCATGAACGACAGTTTACCCATAATTATCTGCAGGTAGTTTAAATATCAGTGTTAAATGTTACAGCGCAACCTGTTGCATTTCTTTGTGTACCTTTACGAGCAGCTCTGAAAACACGCACAATTAATAAAACTACAGTAACAAAACAAAACTGCAAAGCAGATTATGCAGTGTAGCGGTGTTCATGCAAACATGACCACTATTAGACCACATAATGGTGGAAACTCTGACAGCCTAAGAGTGCTGCAATATTTTTGGTGAAGTAAAATGGGACCAACAGCAGGTGGTTTGTGTGGTTTTAATAGATGAACACGCCATGCTCCATTTAAGCTGTTTAAAATAACTCTGGTCACAATAGGTTTCATTTCACAATAATCTCTTTCTAATGCTTAAAACGACTTCCTATGATTTTTAGTATAATCTATCAGTGCTGCAGTTAACATTTTAGGTTCAGCAGCAGGTTTTTTGTTCCTGTAACAGCTAAATGGCAGTCAGTGAGCAGATTAAAGCGGCTGCTCACAGAGATACTATAAAAACATGCTTATACAAACTAAACTGTTCTCTATTAATATCTTTCCCTCTCAGATTAACAGCATTTGACCAGATAGTTCCTCCTCCATAGAGGTTCAGAGTGGATTTTTTATCAGCTCAGAAACTGCAGAAAAGTGTATTTGGTTCTCTGCATGTTCTATGCATTAAATAAAAACGGTCAATGCTCTGTTGACATTTATGCTGAATTTTCATAATATATTAATTAAGACATGATTGTCTGTGATGACAACAATGTGGACATATTCAGACAGATCCTCCAGTCTTTATTCACCCTGGGAGAAAGAGGTCATAACCACTCCTGCAGGTTTTAATTAAAAACAGTTGAGTTATAACTTTTTAAATATTGTAAACTGTCTTTCATAAACTAGTTTAATTATCAACTTATTGTCTGTTTAGTTAATGAATAGGTTACCTCTCTTTTTTTGTTGATACAAGGAAATCATCAGTATAGTGGAGATCAGGTAAGGACAAAACACAACCAGCTGAACAAAAAGATGAAAGCTTGAAGTAGCTGAAGAAAGAATTGGCTCTGGAGAGGCTTCAAGAGTCGTTGATATGGGCAATCTTATAGATGTAGGTGGAGCTGTTCATTTACAAGTAGAGAGAATTAAAGATGGCAGTTTATTTTTTTATTAGTGTTAAAATAATCCTGAGGCGGCTGACCTTCAACAGAGATCCTGCTGGATGGAGACTCTCCATGACCCCTGATGTTACACCTGTAGAGGCCTTCATCAGAGCTGGTCACATGGTGGAGGGTCATGTGACCTTTGGGCTCAGTCCTGATGAGGGAGCCATCTTTATAGAAAGCAGCTGGGAGGTTGGAGGGAGTGGTCTTTGTTAGACAGCTCAGAGTGACGTCATCTCCCTCCATCACAGGGAGGACAGGACTCTGCAGGATCACTGATCCACCTCAACACAGAGACAAACTACAGCATTTCATCCATTTCCACACAGCTTCATCAACACTAACTCCACAGACTGATCTTACCAGTGACAGTGAGCTGGATGCTGCTGCTGGCTGCTCCCTCTCTGGACGACCAACACCAGTAAACTCCACTGTCTGATGTGAACAACCAGCTGATGTTACAGGTAGATCCAGCTGGTTCCCCCCATCCATATCCACACTGAGTCCTGGTTCCTCTGGTTGTGTTCCTCCATACAGTCCATCCAGCAGAGCTGTTGTTCTCCTCACAGCTCAGAGACACAGAGTCTCTAGGAAAGAATTGAGATGTGCTGGGACTCACAGTCAGAGCAGCTGCTAAAAAGAAAAAGAATACTTGTTCATAAAACTTGTTTCAGACCCAGTGTTTGAGGAACCAATCAAGGTTTAAATATGAAATATATCTTAACTCCAGATTTTAACTCAGCATATTTGGTTTTATTACAGCAAGTGAACCAACCTTGGTCTGTTGTGCAGATCAGAACTGAGCTCAGAACTAAAAAGAGAAAAAAACATTACTTCGATTGAACTAAAAACTTTATCATTTCTCGCATAAAGACACTTTTACACCTCAGATAGTTTCCATTCAGAGCGTTACTGTAAATGTTGTTCCAGCAGGTAGTAAATAGCTCTCTGTCCCAAAGTTTTATTAATATTTTCTATGTTTCATAATTTCTCCTCAGATTCCAGTAGAACTTTTCCTCAGTGTGTTTTAACCCAGTTCCAGGCTGTTTCCCAGCCTCTCCTCCATCATCAGTTATCTACAGAAACCCAGGAAATGTTCAGAAAGAATCTCTACTTACTGAGCAGAAATCTGACAGATGTTTCCTTCATTGTGTCTCTCAGAGCTCTGATAGAGATGTTCAGAGACTGAGAGTAAAACCTTCCTCTTCCTCTGTGGTTGAGGGGCTGCAGGAACATGAAGCAGCCAATGATGTAAAGACACATATCTCCACCAACTAGGGCCTGGCTGTGGGTTAGCAGCATAACATAACTTCCTGTTTGGCTCTAGGCTTCTGACTAAATGTTTTCTCTCTTATTTTCTTCACTTGGTTAAACTCTTTCTTGTGAATCTTCAATATTTTTATAAGTATATTACTAACACTTGCTATGTTGCTGAATGCCATGTCCTTATATATCCATCCATCCATCCATCCATTATCTGACACGCTTGTCCCAGTTGAGTCACGAGGGGTGCTGGTGCCTATCTACAGCTGTCTACGGGCGAGAGGCAGGGTACACCCTGGACAGGTCACCACCTATCCTCACCACTTTCTTCAGAAGCACCATAGAGAGCCAGCTGTCTCACTTGTCATGATTTAATCTAAAGCTCGGACCCACATGCAGTGAAGACAAACAGAGAGACACAGAGTAAAAGTTTGAATGGGTTTATTTGAAAGGTATTTTGAGTATGGTGCAGAGTTCCTCCGAACTCTGCTCGTCCAGGGAAACTGAAAGGTGAGGGGAAGACAGACTGTTAGATTCAGACTCAGTGGGGAATTGGATTTGTTAATCTTGAAGGAGAGGATTTGTTGCCACTCACATTTCCAGAGAAGAAGAGACACGTAGACTCCAGTCTGTGTGTTGGTCTTCCAGAGTTTGTTTGATTCTGTGGAGGGCGGAACAGGGTTTACCCAGAACTCGGACGGAGTGGAATGATGCAGCCGCTGGTTGCATCTCAGATTTCCTGTGGTACTTGAACGGGTCGTGGTGGAGATGACTTCCTTACTCAGAGAGAGTTCTCAGCGTGCTCAAAGGTGGCTGGATCCAAACCTCCTGTTTGGAATCCGTCGCTCAGTGTAAGACTCAGTTGATCCCACTTGGGAGAAGGCGGTCCAAAAAGGTCCACTTTGTAGGGAGGTTTCCTGCTGAAAGGCAAAGAACAAAGTTGAGACTCAAGAAGAAACAAGCGCTCAGTAAAACTCAATGTGATCTCAGCTTGGCTAGAGGACAAAAACTCAAAATGCAAAAACTCAGATTAGACTCAGCATAAACAAGGCTTGGCTAGAGTACCTCAAACTGGCAAACACTCTGGCAACGAAGTAGTGGCAACCAGCAGCTTAAGAGTAGTCCGGTGATGAGGCAACAGCTTGCAGGTGTGTGAGGAGGCGAACCGGAGCCAGGCGCCTCCTGGTGGTGGTAAGGAGAAACACAAAAGACAAGACAAACAGACGAACACAAAAACAGGGATCCTGACATCACTGTGTGGTGTGGAGGCTGCAGCGCCTCAGACTGGAAGAAGGTAAAAAGAGTAGTGAGAACAGCAGAGAGGATCATCGGGCTCCTCTTCCCTCCATTAAAGACACTTCATCCCAGAGCTGTGTGTCCCAAGCCCATAACATAATTAATGACCCCTCATACCCCCACCATGGACTGCTCTCCCATCTGCTCTCTGGGAAGAGACTTCAAAGCATCTGATGCAGGTCCAGAAGATTCCAGAACAGTTTCTTTTCCACCGCCATTAGACTGTTGAATGTTGTATAAAATGCGGTTAAAAAAAACCGTTGAATGTTGAAAACTGTATATAATATGCCAGTCTTATGTTTACATTTTATCAATGCTGTACTGAACAAAAATTATTTTTGTATACACTCAGGTACAAAATTACAATAAAGTCTGTCTAAGTGTAAGTCAGATAATTTCCCTCGTTGCTGTTGTCTTCTTACCTCATCTATCCCTGAGTCCTTGTGCTCGTTTTCCACTGATGTCTCCAATTTTTTGGTTTGTTAACATTTTTAGTTGGATTTTTGGATTGTTGCCTCTGTTACCTGTGTTTTTTCAATTAAACTTCCAAACGCAGACACCGCCGCCGGCAGAGAAATTCCACTCCTTCAGTGTGTCACCCTGACGCCTCCACTCCCTCTCCAGCGGGTCAGCCTGATGCCACCACTCCCATGGGTCAGCCAGCTGCTAGCCTTAGAACACTTTCAGAACAGGTCAGTCATCTCAGCCGATACCTCCATTGCCAGCAGCTAGCTTCACGGGTGTGAAGGTTTAGACCAGTTTCCATTCTTACACCCCCGCAGTCAGAGCTCGTTATCTCGAGGAGTCTCATCTCTGGGACTTCTGTTATGGGAAAAGGGAGGATCTTTTCCCTTTCCTTCCACCTCCATCAGCTCCGCCCCAGCCAGCACTTCCCAAGCCAGAGCCGTTTAGAGGGCCAAATCCTGAGCCAGAACCCTTTAGCGGGCCAGATCCCCTAACAACAGAGCCCTTTAGCGGGCCAGATCCCCTAGTGCCAGAGCCAATTAGTGGGCCAGATCCCCTAGCACCAGAGCCCATTAGCGGACCAGTTCCCCTAGTGCCTTAGCCCTTTAGTGGGCCAAATCCAGAGCCCATTAGTGAGCTAGAGCCCACTAAGCCCATTCTGTGCGGCCCAGAGACCCCTGAGCACACTGATGAAATGGTCTCAGATTTAAAGCTCGGTGAGATTTGATCACCAAGGCCCCACAGAGGGCGTTCCAAGCCTCCTAGAGCCCTGGGCGGGCACTCCACGCCTCCTAAAGCCCTCAGGAAGCAGCACAGATGGTGCCCCCTAAGGCTGCAGCAGCAGAGACGGTGCCCTCCTGAGGTGCTCCTTTGTCGCCGGCCTTACAGCCGCCTTCCAGAGGCTCTTCCTCGTCGCCAGCCACAAGGCCGGCCTCCAGAGACTCTTCCTCATCTCTGGCCGCATCCAGAGACTTGTGATTGCCCTCGTCCACCTTTGGGGAGTTGTTTTTTTTTTTACTTTTGGGGGAGTTGTTTTTTTGGGGGGGGGGACTTCCATAAGGAGAGAAGAGGGAACCTCCATAAGCTCTATGACAGCCAGCCTTTTTGTTAACTTCTTTAGCTAACAAAAGGCCAATTCCCGAGCTAGAGCCCTTTAGCGGGGCTGCTCCTGAACCAGCCCTCCCCTCTTCAGACTTAGACCCCTCTAGTGTTCCCTCTCCAGACTTGGACCCCTTCGTGTTCCCTCTCTAGACTCGGACCCCGCTGATGTTCCCTCTCCAGACTCGGAGCTCACTGGAGTCCCATCTCTAGTCTCAGAGCCCTCTGGTGTCCCCTCTTCAGTCTTTGAGCCCCCTGGTGTCTTCTCTCCAGTGTCTGAGCCTGCTGGTGTCCCCTCTCCAGGGTTGGAGCCCTCTGGTGTCTACGCTCCAGGGTTGGGAGTCTCTGGTGTCCCCTCTACAGGGTCACATCTCCTCAGTGTTTCCTCTCCAGTGACCCATGAGCCCGCTCTTTGTTGTCCATAGACCCCTGTGCCCACTGAAATACTAGTCCCTTATAGGGCTCAGTGAGAGTTTGGGGTGCTATCATGGTTTTGGTTCTGTCCAAGTCTTACCTCAAATTTTTCATTGGTTTTATTTCCATTCTGTGTTCTAGTTGAATTTTTTTTTATTGAATTTGAGTTCTTACGTATTTCTTGCTTGCCCTCTGTTGGCCTGTTCTCTAATTCTCCATTTCCCTAGCTCCCTTCAAGACTCCTTTGTCCACACCTGCTCCAGATCTGCTACACTGCAGTAGATTTATTGAACCCTTCCCCGAGTCCAAACATCAGAACCAGTCTGACTCTTACCTTTCCTTTAGGTGTTGTTCCTAGGACATACTTTGAGTTGGAAAGAGGCTACACCCAGAAACAGGTTTCAGCAGTCTGTCAACATTTGAATCACCTTTCATTGTTCACATTTTCTTAAATTATGCTTCTGTCTGGAGCATAAAATGTAGCTTTTTGCTTAAGAAGAACTGAAATACGCTATTTATTGATATAATTTCTGCAGAAAGGAGAGACAGTTGAACCCCAGACTCAAACACACTGTCTCCCACCGGACCTTCTCCGCAGAGCGTTTATTAACAAAACATGACACATGGTTCCAAACAGAGTATTGTTCTGACAGAACAATTGATCAGTTCATGAAGACAGGATGCTCCATCAGTATGACAAGGCAGGATGGTCTCCTGACTGGATCATGAGACAGGAATGGAGCATCCTCTTGCAAAAATGTTTCATAACATAAAGTTATAGATTGAACTAAGACATTTTGCTGAATGGGACGATAGAGATAGAGTGATGCATAACTATAGAGATAGCTCAAGATAACCTGAGATTGAACAAACAAATACTGCACAGTCGGAGAATAGAGATAGAATGAAGCAAAATAATGAAAAGGGCTCCCTAGAGAAAATATTGCTTCTTTCATACCAGTGTTAATGGACAACTTTAATAAAAACACAGTCACAACTTCAGCTGATTGGTCATATAAAAATATGTTTCATTTGAAACTAGAACACAAACAGTATCATTTGATATTTCTAGTTCACATGATACAAATCAAAGAAAAGATCCACTCAACTAAAACAATGACTCTGCAGCCAAAATTTCTTTTTGGACTAGTTTGTAATTGAATTGAAAAATAATTGGTTAATCTCAAAGGGAAATTTCTGTTGTTCTACACTGCCAGTAATCTAGAGGCGAGGAATTGGAGGCTTACATTATGTAGGAATCCATGTTATAAAATCTCACCCACTCTCTCTCTATAACTGCATGTTAAATTAGCTCAGTCCTTCGATTGTGGAGAAGATATGATTATATTAAATTAAACAGCAATGCACACAGTTCCGGAATCTGGAACAGTTCATGGTTTCAGCTTGTTGCAGAGTTTCTAATTCTGCAGAGGTTTTGTGTGTCATGATGGGGTTCAGGGATCTAACATCTAACATCATAGTTCTGTTCAGCTGGAGTTAGCCTGCGGTAAAAGAAGGCGCATGGGTGAGTTTTGTTATCAGAGTCAGATTGTTTGGATAAGACTGCATTCACAGCCGAAATCAATGAATGCAGATAAAGTGAGAGTCTGATCAGCGGCAAACAGAGTAGCAGGTAACAATAGGTGAGGAGATTTTTCAGATTGCAGATGGTCCGCCAGACTCCTCATTTCCTCTGGCGGACCCCGGCTTTTACCTTAGCTGGGCAG